CTTGTTGTTCCTAGAGTATTTAAAAGTAGAATGGGAGGCAGAGCCTTCAGTTTTCAGGCCCCTCTTCTGTGGAACCAGCTTCCAGTTTGGATTCATGCGACACTCAACTGTTGTTATGATTTGGCATTGTATAAATAAAATTGAATTGAGTCATGGTGTTTTCTGCCTATTGCAGCATGCTGACTCTCACCTGGATGGTACTGGTGGAACTGTGAGAATCCTTTTGTTTTTGAGTGGCTTTGATTCAATAAAACAACTTCTGCTGAGTGAGAAGCTGCTCAGAATGGGTGTTACCACTTCTACTGTCTCCTGGATTGCTGATGATCTGTCAGAGATGCCTCAGTTTGTATGGCTGAGCGGCTCTTTGTCTGGGTGATCAGTAATACTGGGGCACCATAAGGCATGGTCCTATCTCCATTCCTGTTTACCGTGTACACCTCAGATTTCCAGTACAACAGTGAAACGTGCCACTTGCAGAAGTCTTAGTGACTCTGCAGTTGGGTGTGTTTAGTATGGGCAGGAGTCGGAGTACAGGGAGCTGGTGGAGAACTTTGTGGAGCTGTCCGGAATAAATCATGTCAGCTCTGTTTCACTGTCACTTTCCCCGTAAGTAAGAGTCACCATTAAGGTATCATCATCCTCCTTCACTATAAGATGCTCTGCCTTGTCAACAAGACAAAAGAGATGGTGGTTGATTTTTGGAGGATAAAAACTGAAAATAGACCCATCAGCATCATGTGTGAAGAAGCAGAAACAGTGGATAGCTGCAGGTACCTGGGTTTTCACCTGAATGACAGACTGGGCTGAAGGACTAACAGTGATGCTGTACAAGAGGAAGCTCAGGGCAGCAGCAGTGCCAGCGATACATCAGGATCAACAAACTTCACAAAGCTGGAAACATGATTGGTCTGAATTTGGATGTATTTAAGTAAGTGAGGGTCAGCGGTTACTGAACTGCTCTCCATCATGGACAACCCATCACACCTGATCCACTCAACCTTAGAGGCAGCAGAACTCCTCCCTCAGGCCGATTCAACCTCACTGACATAAAGAAGAAAATCAGGAAATGATTCCTACTCTCCTCTGTACAGAAACTCTTCTTTCTGTGACGGGAGAGCACACCTGTCAGGACATAAGACTCCACTCACATATTTGTGTATTATACCTTGCTGTACCTGTTTCTCAAGATTCAAGAAAGCCTTTATTTGTCACATGCAAGTCGCCCTGAAGCAAAATACTAATGTTTTAGAGTGAAAGAACATCCAGATAATTCAGTTTTAATTCAATCAGTGAGAAACTGAAGCTTATTTTAAAGAAACAGAAAACTTCATGTCTGAACGTTCCTGCAGTTGGTTTGTGGTTGATGTGGATTTGCTGCTCATGTGAATCCTCCCACAGTGTTTCATTAGCAGCTGTAACCACAGTGACTCTGATAAAACAGGAATTAGCAGAATCCATCTGATATGAAGCTGTGCTTTGAATACCACTTCCCTCCTCTTTGAAGAGTAGTCAGA